AGAGGGAACACCGAGTCGTTTCGCAATGTCGCAGCTCCTGAAACCTTCTGTGAGCAGCTTCTCGATAGTGAGTCGATGCGCAGAAACTTTTGTAGCGACTGTTCGGGCGAACGGTCAATCGAATGACTCATATGGATTCTTTTACAGAACCCAAGCTTTCTGAAAGTCCAACAAGATTCTGAAAATACCAATTGGCAGGTGCCAGCAAGCGTCAAACGGCGCGTCCTATACTTTTCAGCCACCCTGTATACGAAGGATCCCATTACCTACAACATTTTCTCACACCCTCTGGCCGTCCCAGCAGAAAATCGACTACGCCATTGCGGTTACGCACCAGGGAAAATAGAAAAAAAAGTTCGAGGGAAAGTAAAATAATTGTAGGAGTCTCTCTCAGATTTCCATTCTGAATCAGATGTCATTAAGGCGTCTAAATGCGTATCCGGCCTATAGAATACCCTAGCAAGGCCAGCTGAGGCGCAAGTGTCCGTTTAGGTACAACTCCGATCCCCAATCAAACTACAGTGATCTTTTAAATACCACCTTGTCGGAATTCTGATCTGAGGGAATGAGCCTTCCTACATATCAGCGCTCATGCTCTCGTAGAAGGATCTGGGACTGGTTGAAAAACCCTGAAGGAATGGTGCAACCGGACCAACCAGTCTATCATAGGTGTTTGGAAGAGGTTGTTCTAGAAAGAGGCACCCTACCGCACAAATCATCCGGGATTCGACCTCGACTGTACATGCGGTAGGGGTACTTCTCCACACTAACCACCTCTTGTAACAGCTCCAACAGAGAAATAAAAAACCAACCCTATTCAAGTCTGTGTCTTCACCCTTGCAGATTAGAAGTTGTGGTTTTTAAACCTGTCAATAAATTTATATATAAATAAAAATACCATTTAATGAGATACATTTCAAACTCAAGAAACGGTATAGGGGCACCACATTTATTTTTAGCTGCTGTTCCATACACATTTCCTCGAGTCCCCTGCAAGTGACCGTCTAAGTAATGTAAGACACATTGAAGTTTCTTCTTATATTACACCTGAAAGGGCCAGAAGGGACAAATCTTCTAAAAACCCATCACCAAATGGCCCTGTGATATGCATACATCTTTAGAAGTATCGAATAATTTATCAACAACATCACTCTATAAATATGACCAGTATGACTGAGGTAAGGCTGTCATTTAGTAAGAAAAACGAATCACTATAAGAGCAAATATCCGACAACCGGAAGAATTATATTGTCAACATTTTCTGTAAACGCTTCAATGGCAGCTAAGACGAGAGAAACGAAGACAATAAGGAGGCATGACGACGCATGAAAGACGCAAAAAGGTCGTGCCATAGTGAGAAACATTGCGATCGCCACAGTCATGGCTAGCGATCCTTCAACGGTCTTCTTCCTTCTGAAATATATTTCGTGGAAAAGTTCAGTGCCCGAGATGTTCACCGGGAGGATGACCATGAGATGGAATAGAGCCAGTCTCTCGGCCAAGTTGTGGAGATATAGCTGGCTGTACCTTCAAGCGAGGCTGGGCGACAAGGAATAGAAGGCGCCTACGCGTCACCATGTGACAGTTCGGTCGGCACTGCGGTCAAGAGACCCCTCCTACCCATACCTAAACCGAAGAAATACTGATTATATAGCCCATCCACAGATTTCGACTAATGGACATCCGGTCTTTTTTAAGATCACTGTGAAGGCCTTCGCAAAAAAAGTCTCAAGAAGACAAGGCTGCCTGTTTCTCCCGGGGATTGTATTGCGAATTAATAATTTTATTCCACCCATTATCAAGCCTCACGGTTCCACACGAAGGCGGGCTTTTCAATCCGGCTTTTACACGAAGGGAATGCAACTTATCCATTTAGTCACATCATGCTTGTTATGGTGAAATCACCATGGGCTTGCCCTGGTATAATTTAATCCGAGGGAAAGAAAAGATAGTCATCTGAAGGCTCCTGGACGAGTTCCACACAAGCACAACAAACGTTCTACTCCACCCTTCAATAAAAGCAAAACGAACCGTGGCCATTTCGTAATCCCGAACTTGGATCCAATAATAGCTGCAGCACTGTCACCGACACCAACCGCAGCTACTCCTGCCAGATGGTACAGATTCGGCGACTTGCTGTTCGGCGATAGGAACAGGGGCAGAAACACACCTGGATACTGATTTTTGTTGGCGAAAATTGTTACACTGTGTAGGTCTTGAGAATTTGTAAATTCACCAAAAAGGAGGAAGATTGGGGTGAGCAGTACTGCCGAATCCTGCTCATCTTTGAACACCAAAAGGAAATTGTTCAGTTGCTCTTTCCATGGTGGAACTTCGAAGAAACGCAACACCTGTTGAGAAAAATTCATCTTTATACAATATTGTTGGCAAGGTATGGAGGTGGGTCTAGTGGCGCCGCTAGCACATATGTAATGCGAGATCGAATCCGTGACCAGTATGTGCATAGGGTAACAAACTCTTAATCTACTTTGAGGTCATTTGATTGTGATCCCACTTGTTTTGAGGATAAAGACACAGACTTGAACGTAGATCAGTACTTGTAATGTACTGAATAAGCTCGGTAAGGATTCAAATGCTGTTAGAATCCTACAAAGAATTCCACCGCATGGCGCATACCAGAACATACTGATGAATGCTTGCCGATTCCTAGCAATTCATACGAAAACTACAAATTGCAGATATTATCGATTTTCGTACGACAATTATTTTTTATTGTATTTTCAATGCACGAAATCATGCATTCGTAAAGTTCGCGTGTGCCCAAAAAACGAAGCGAGCCGTATCAGATACGATGAAATGCTCACGATGAAAAAACATAACGGAGGAATGCGATGAAGCCCAGATGTGCATGAGAAAGAGATATTTTCCTCCAGTTTGTTTACTACAGACTTATCGATGGAGTTTACTCCTCAAAAAAAAAAAACCCAAAACTCTTGAACTTACCTCTATTATAACAAATATACAAATCATCAACCATCCACTCAGCCATATAAAGTCCCGATCAAAAAATAACCCGGACACATAGATCAGCGACACCGTCAGATGGAAAAATTTCCTAGACAGAATTACATACAAAGTTTTTTAGGACAATACACAAGACATGAAATAACAGTAATAGCAATAACAATAATAATAATAACATATTAACTATTCATTCTAAAAGATGGAGATCGAAGTTTACGGGGTTGAACAACCCGTTTTGGAATACGCCCTGCATTTGAATTCCATTCAAAATCGTAGGAACCCGTATTTAGCCTCTAAAATGGCATGCAATGGCCAACCAATTTACGTGTCAGTGCTTTTATCCTCCCATACGAGTCTGGCACCGATTCACTGACCCCGGAAAGATGGTAGGCATGGTTGGCCTAGGCGGTTATCGAACCGGGTTTCAAACCCTTGACCCAACGCGTGCGATAACGCGCCACTTGTCACTACACCAACTCGGTCAACATTGTAATAGCTCATATTATATGGTCAGTCAAAACAATATATTGTAATCATCCGATTTAGCATGGAACAGAGCTTAATGAAAAAGCTGACAGGACAAAAAAGGAAACTTCCAAACGTATACAGAAATATTGAGGTAATATAATGATAAATATTTATAATTTTAGCTGTACCATGTAATATGACATCGTAACTAGCAATTACCTAGGTAATGACATCAAGTATAATTAACTACAGTATTTATATAATATAATCAAAATTATGAACTAAATAATATAATGTTATATAATGTCACGTCATATAATTGTGTGTAACACAATATCATAATATAACAATATAATATAACATAATATAATATAATAATTTAATATAATCCAACATGTACTTGAGTGATGTTTTCTTACCTGTGCATTGTTGAGCTTCGACCTGTGGAACTGACGAAAACACCGAAAGCAATTGATGCAGCTACATTGAGGCTCCAAAAAAGTAACACGAACAAACTGAAATCATAGATTTGAGGGGTACGGTAGGCGATCTTGATGATAAGGCTATTCACTCTAGTGTACTGAACTAGTAAAGTCTATTTTCTGTAGTATCTGCTGGATTTCGGGAGGACATCGGTGTTTCCTGGGGGCAAAAGAGATAAAGGGTAACGCGATCTCGAAATTAATCTTCCGCTCTAATTACACTTCAACCTTTCATCGACAGGATGTATACGCAGTTGATTGAATGCACACTTACAAACCATCGCAAACATGAAAGTTATTTACTTGTTTATTTATTTATATGATGTACCCCACAAGAATACTCTTTGAATCTTATGAACAGACCACCGATGTTATCGCTATTATGAAAAATTAGGTTATATGGATGCCATTACGAGCAACAAACGGCACTGTGCACAGCCATGCCTGTTTTTGTGGGATACGCCATGCATTCGGATTCTCACTAGTTTGAGGAGTGTAGGAGTATCATAATTGATCTTTGTCAGGGATCTTGTAATTAGCAGCACAATTCTCGTTTTTAAAACAGTACACCAATAAATCTAGATTCCCCGCCAGTTTCCTGCATATCCGTATGGAAACTTGGTATATTGTTGTCTCAAAGGGCTTCCTAAACGTTGAGAGTCACGAAGAATACCAGTGTACCCATTGAAAAAAACCTTCAGGCCGTGGAAGCTTTTCTTTCTCTTTCTTTTCGGTTCTCTGTCAATTTTCCATACGATTCAGTTTCTAAAGCTTAAACCTTACTAGGCTAATGAATAAACTCCGAGAACTTGACGCAAGTCGATTCCTTTCTTTCTGAATCACCCTGAACCTGGCCCGTAGGGTATATAATCCTGAGATCCTATTGACGTATCTAGATGAAGGTGACTTCTGTCTCCGACAAGCCAAAAATTTTTGAGTGCAAAGCTCCAACCTCCTCATCTGCACAACCTAAAGTTCGAGTCAACTCACGGAGCCCTCCATTCAAACTTTTTCTTGGTAAATTTCAAAGGAAGGTACCATCTGATCAAGAATCGAGCCTGGTTAGAGGTTGTCAATTCATACATTCTCTCGACGTCGATCGGCATCAGATCCGTCAAGAGAATAACTACATATGACATAACTTGTGCAAACTGTACTAGCTATCCCGTAAGCCAATGTACAGACCATATGCGTGATTCAACAAAATTACTATAATGAATGGAAGCCGACTACATGGCGTATCTTTGCAGCAGAACGCCTTGGGCGGTATCTCTCGGCTGTTTCAAAATTTCGTTGCCAATGAAAGGTTTCACTCCTATGAATCCATTGCCGATGTTCTATAAAAACCCACCGTGAATTTGTCGAATCGAAGACGATGCCCCACAAGAAAAATGGCAACTGCAGAAGTGATAGGTCCATAAGAATACTGTACAACGCCATTGCTAGACAGACAACGACCAAAACGACAGCGTTGATCATAGTGGGTTGGCCAGCTTTGGACAATAACATCGAGCTCACAACAATCACAGCCGTAGCCCCTACGGCTACTTCAGCAAGTGGGCCATAGACCGCCTTCATGGCTGATGGCCCCACGAAATCTCAAAAACAAGCCATCAAAACCAATTCAAATCAATTTGCGAAAGGAAAGATATAATAACTGGATAGTTCACGGTAAATATATGGCATAATAATTGTTGTGAATAGATTTATGCAAATATATAAGTATTTGTAATAGCATAAATGGTAATTAGTGAATAAAGGAGGATATGAAAGCTGGATTTTAAAGGAATGTGAAAAGGAACAACTGAAAGCATGTGCGAAGGCCATGGAACTAACCACAATAAATGTTTGATCAATCAATAGCCGATAATTCTGTGATCTATTCAAAGTTTAATTACTCTGAGAAGTTCTTGAAAATGAGGCGAAACTACCGTACAACAGATCCATTGATCAATGGAAGTCCGAAGGGGAGGGATATGGGTCAGGAATACAATTTAGTGAATTAATAAGATGAAAAAATCCTAGTTCACTGTAAAGTACGCGAGCGATATCGGCAGACAACTCGTTCGCCACGTTGGTGGACGAGTCGCTGCTTGCAAAAGGCACCAGCACATCAGCAACCAGAGGACCCAGCTGGGCGTCGATCAGCGAACGTGGGACGTTCGGGAACAGCGCCGCCGTGCCCAACACCACCGATTCACGCACCCTGAAATCAAAAGAAGACGTCTTTGTAGTAAAATCAGGGAGAACACGGTTGAACAACTCAAAACCACAAGGGTTAGGTGCCACCGCGGTTGGATTGAGCCTAATGTAATCAACGGAAAGCTAACGAAAAGATAACCTTTACCCGCTTAACCCCCTCTGACCCAACCGCGGTCAAATTTGACGAATATTATTAAAAATTACTTGTAAGCAACACAGCATTCTAGCTAAAATGTCAGGCTATGCTGGCATGAAAAGAAAAAAGAATGCTCTCCACACAAAAGATGATCATCAGGAAATATGACTTACAACATTATCATCTGCTGTTTTCTACCGTAATCCGCTACGTGCATCATTAAATCATAATTAAAATTGGACTGGCGCTCACCAAGATTCAAGGAGCGAATCATGACTTCGATTCCCGTCGCACCTGTTTACCTGTTAACTTGTTTCTTTACCCAACCATTATTTATTTACCCTTGAAAATAATGTTTAGAAAGGATTAAAGTGGAATAAACAATGTCAAGGTCAACGGAGGGTGCACGCCCTTATCACTCATTGAACGACATCTTTCTACGGACCCAATGGATTCGCTAGGGCCCTAGAAATAAGGGAGCTATCCTGTGTCCACCACATAAAGCACGAGCGATACCGCAAAAGGTAAATCAAATTTAGACATAGATTTAGATAATTTAGATATCAATAGTTTGTAGTAAGGATCCAAAAGAATGGTTCTTTCCACAGGGGGATACTCGACTGGGACTCAATTTTTCGTGGAACCGCTTGATCCCATCTAACTTGGGGACCGGGCTACACATAAATCAGAATGTCACCTCCAATGGTGAGAAGACGAGAAAAGAGAAGAGAGTCGTCGATAATTGGGGCGCTACTTGGAAATGCATTAAAGTCATTGTGAACCTCCTTAGAAGGAACGCTTGGGGAAGACTATCCCTCACCCCACGCGCTAAGCTTTTTGTCGGGGTGACCGAGGTGAAGCTGCAATGTGGATAGAAAAGAAAAATTGACGCAAATGTCACTTTTGTTATCAAACATATCGAAATTTATTTGTGTAGTTCCTATTTTTATTTCCCTACTGAAGAGTACCTCTTGAGGAACATCATGAATCGATGAGGAGAGGGGAAGATTATGGCCACGTGCTAGTCCAAATCAATTTCTATACAACTTGACTTTTTATCAAATTCGAACCAGATTGACAAAAAACCAAGCCAAAGCTCTCTCCATACTTGCTAGAACCAGTCCTACTCACAATCAGTAGTAGATCTTCGAAGACAGATGATTTCGGTCGCATGAATGAATTGGGAAGAATATGTGGGTTATTTTTTGCGCACTAGACCCTATAGAAGCTTGCTGCTCGACGTATTGGTCATGCTCCATTTGATACTCCAATATTCGCTGATGAGGACTTCTTCCCGTCGGCAAGTAAAAACAACAGCATCATTACTTTTGCGATCCGCTCAGACTGCTGCAGCCATCTGTTTCATAGCTGCGAAACTCATTCAACATTCTCCAAGGGAGTCCTCCCACTCTTGAGCCACCGAACGGGCTACGAGCTTTTCCGGGAGTTTTCGATGGGAAGCTGCCGCAGAATCGGCTTCTTGAGAGACTAGCTGAACCACAGCAATCATATAACACGATGGTGAATTAGATGATGACATCATGTAGGCTTATGTATAACTAGCAAAAACAATTATACTAAGCTAGAATTATCACGCCATCGAATTATGAGGACAAACCCTGGACCTATTAAGCCCCTATGCTCTGAAGAAGTGATAACGTCGTAACAAGAGCTTGGTGATTGCTTATGTCAATCTACGTTGCCGACCGATTACCTGAGGGTTGTACTTTTAGAGGAATTCGTTCGAAAGTTGACCTGGCTCCATAAACCTTTAAACAGACATTTTCGGTATATTTCGCTTAGTATCCTTCGCATACTTCTAAATAAGACTTGGTCTTGCCTTCTCACTACTTCCCAGATGCTTCCATTGCACGCTTCTCGCCTCCGCGGGCGGGGCTCAGCTGACCGCTTGGGTACTTCAGCCGAAAAGTCACATCTGGCTCACACTGATAATACTGCTGTAAGAAAGCGATACTTCATGGATCATAGTCAGCAGACCAGCGAAACTTTTACCCTTTTATCATGACCCCATTTAAAATACAAGGGTAAAATTAGGAAAATGGTCTACGACACGAAACGAATGGTCTTCGACAGTCATCGGACCTACCGAAACCTTTTTGCAGTCAAATTCAACCCTCTCCCCAGTGTTTGGCTGGATCCTCTCCCTCATCCCTGGGAGAGGAAACTATCATGTTTATCGGAAGACACAATTTTCTCACTGCCTTAGATCATCTAAATTTCCGAAATCGTTCTGAAGCCAGCTTCCTGAAAGCCCTGTCCGCTGCATTCGAATTAGATAAAAAGGGACGAATAAAAATGCATTTGGATGACTCGATGGATTATTTCTTCCAAAAAACAACCTAACAAATGCAATTCAACCGACAAGGACAAGTTGGTGTACTGCCAAGTGTTGCACTATTACACAAGCATGGTTCATATCTCGCATCGACACCTACCCTTCAACAAACTTAACAAAGTCTCCCATTCCTCTGAGATCGGTTAACTGGAACCAGCTTTGTCTGGGAGGTTAAGCACTGGCATGGGCTTGACTGGGCCCGCAAGTCATTGTGTAGGCCATATACCCATGCAATACGACATTACTATTCTGAATGGAAGTCAAATGCGTGGGCCAATTCCATAACGGCTCCTTCCTACCCTAACTTCCCAGCATCTGCTTCAATCCCGACCCAGCCCCTCCATGTGTTATACTACTAAAATGCTGTTGCTGCTATATTCCAGAGTGGCTGCTGT